AAAAAAATAATATATATGAATTCAGAGACATGTCTGAAAGTGAAAGACAATGAAGTCTAGGAGCTGGCACACTGATGCTGAAAGCCAGAAAGCCTCAGGGTCAAGCGGCAGAGATAATTTCTTTCCTACTAATGTATGGAAATATCTTTATGTACTTCAGTATGTTTATTATTAACCCTTGATAATGCTACTAAACTACACAAGAATTTTCTTCATCCACTTTACAACTAATCATAACAGAGACTGTCAAAGTCTCTGCAGGCAAAATTGTAAAGAGAATGAGCCTTTTAATATACCAGAAACGTAACTCATCCACTCTGTCAAACTGCTTTTTGGTGAAGATACCAAAAATGTGTTAGGCCATGCTCTATGGTCACTACTTCACAGTTTTTTTTCAGGAATTGGAACATAGGAATCCTCAAGTTTAATTGCTTATCTGCCTTACACACAATAATTACTCAAACCACTGGCAAAGTGTGTATTGTGATGCCTTCTAAATGCTGATCTACAAAGGAGCTGACTCTCATTTATCTACTACGCCTTTAGCTCATGAGGAAAATCTCTGAAGGCAATTGGTTTAAATCCTGCTGCTAAGATTAAAAATAAAAGAATTTAAAAAAAACCCAAAAAGGTACCTTCATAACAATGAAAAGGCATAACAGAAGAAAGCAAACAATTCTGACTATTCCTACCTTGCTACTACTTAGGTGCAGTTCTTTAATGATCTTTTGAAATAAGTTATCCAAGTTTTTAAATTATCATTATTATTTTTAAATTATTGACAGATTCATGACAAACTCATAATTTGGCCTTTATTTCCACCGTGATATGAAGCAAGTAGTATTATTTATAGAGGAAAGTTGTTATATTTAAAAGTGAAGTTTACAGCAGTCTACACAATTTTTAGAAAAAAAAAATTATAATACTTCCGAATAAATTTCACACATGGAGTAACACAAGAGTTCAATTAAAGAAGTACTATATATGGTCTTGGATGCAGCCTCTATGGTGTCTCATCTGGCTAACTTTTAAATGCACAAATATAATTTAAATAAGTGTCCATAACACGAGATGTGTGAGACTACTTTGAAGTCCTATGTGACACAGAATTAATTTGAACAAACCTGACTATCAATTTCTAATAGAGTTTAGGTGACAAATTTCAGGAAAAGAAGTTTTTATTTGCCCAAGAGTATTTAACTAGCTTTCTGTTGTTTGAACCACAGGCAAAAAACATTAATCTGAAGAGTAAAACTTCCCTGGTTTACTTGGAAAAAGAAAGGCCTAGCTTTTCCTACCCTGGATGACTCCAGAAAGGGCACTCATGCCGCATAGCTCCCAATACTCCAGTCTGGAAATCTGATCCCTTTTTATATCAGAAATTTAGAAGAAAAAAATTTTACACTAATCAAGAAATTCAAGTTTCTGTTGACTTGATGATCTTCCCATTGCTTATACAAAGGTAGAAGATCTCTTTTTGTGTTTTGCTTTCTACAGTTCAAAGTATTTGAATCCTGACAACTCTTTTCAGAACTTCCCAAAGCAATCTGCAGCATTAGTGTTCTTTAAAAAAGCTCTTTATTAATCTCTGTTTTTTTCAGTCATATATTAAAAATCACTTAAAGATCAAGACATATCGATACATTTTGATCACTTTTCCTTGTTGTCCAGTGTTAGGCAGCTTCTTCATCTGCTGTAGAGATTTTTCTTGACCATGCCCTGATTGTACCATTCGATAACCAGAAACACAGCAGTTTTCAGTTACAAGTCCAAACAAATTAACAAAATACTCACTAGCCAATCAAGAAATAGGTTGATGCTACCAAGTAACTCTCATATTCCTACCTGTTGTGCTTTTTTCCCTTGACTTTCTGGATTTTTTTTTAATTTTTTTTATTTTTTTAAACTTCAAACCTTTTTTTCCTGCTCACTCTCTCTGCTCTTTAGTCCTTGTCAGGGCTGGGTCAGGGAAAGAATATCCAGAATGAAGGGATATTAAACTATTATATTCTCAGTTCTAAAAATGAATTTAGGAAAACAGCACCTGGCAATTTCAACTACCTGCAATCAAAATTATTTTTTGTCAGACATGGAACTGATTATCAACTGATATGAATTCTAGTTTGTGCTCTCAATAGGACAGGATATGCTAGCTCTATTTAAATATGATTAGGCCTGTTGCTCATCATCACAATACCAAATCTTTTTCTCTAAGGATTCCTCTATTATGCAAATGAGCAGAAAAGCAATTAAACACTTCAAAAAGGAAGACTGAAAATTTGTAATGAAAGAATTATCGTCTTTGCTTCCTGAAATACATAAAACAAACCACATGTTAGGAAATAGTCTTCTGCATTACATAATGCCGTTCTTCTCTTCAGATGAAAACTGCCCACACTGTTCACAGAAACATCCAAGCTGAAAACATTTGAGGTCACTTAAACATCTGAACCTACCTTGCCACAAAAATCTACCTACCCTCTGATTTCTGAAAAGTTGCAAGCAGAATAATTGAGGATGCTTCCTGAAAAACTGCCCATAAAATAGAGGGGGTTTTTTAGGTTAAATAAGTTAATACATCTCAATAGTTAAAGTTTACATGAGATTCTTATAATGCTGTAGGTATAAATTCACAAATGCTGGACAGCAAATGAAGTATGAGATAACACTACTAGGATATTGTCTGCATGTCACTTTTGTATTTTTCTCCTTTATAAAGAGGTATGTAATTTAATTATAAATCTGTCAAATCCAAACTACAAAATTCCACTCATTTGTGAGTACCTCTCCAAAAAACAGCTTCTGATGGGTCTTTCCTAGTCTCTAAATAGCAGTGATTAATTTTGACACCTTCTACAAATATGGCATTAGTAGATTTCATTACAAACTCCCTATTATCCACAAATGAAACTAAATCCATTCTGGTGGAGAAACAACTCAACATAAAATGCACAGAACATCAGTGTTTTCTATACCAGTTAAATTCAGATCTATCAAAATCAATGTAAGAAAACTAGACAATGTAAGAAAACTAGACAGTCTAGAATAGTTAGGATTGCTTATTGAACTGAGTTCCAAAGATTACCTTTTTCAACAGGCTTTATAAAATTTAATTAAAACAGACCTCACTGTTATATCATGCTCTGGATAAAGATAATTGTATTATATATGCACAAGTTTTGTAAGTGTACTAAATACTTGTCTAACCAATTACTAGAAGTATCTCCATTCCACAAACCCAGAACACACTACAAGAAGAAAATTTCAACAATAAAATGGTAAAACAACACAACTATGTTGTGGTCTCCCTCTCAGGATAGCATACATCAGTGAGGACCTTGCTGTCCTTCCCACATTTATGGATTTAATGAGTGATGGCTTATTTCCAAAAATCAATCCATTATTCCTATGACGTGATGAATGCTTTCATCCTTAGGCAGTTTCAAACATCTTATCATCTGGAAGTTCCTTGAAGATCACATGCATCAGTTGCAGAAAGACACTTAGTATATTGAGTGCACACTTCAAAGACGAAGACATTAGCTGTCCTCACAGATCTCTCTTCAGATGAGATACCAGTTTTATTGGGCCACAGAATCTCAGATAAAATCTCACTCTTCAAGGAAAATAGGAGAGTTCTCTATGTTTCACCTTGCTCTAAAGCCATAAGAAGCAGGAGAAGCAAGCAGTGACATCTTTCTTCCTCAAAATGCCAGTAAAACATGAAAGTCAAATTAAACAGTTATTTTACTTTCTGATTATCCTAAGCCTTGCTATCCTAATCTGAAGTGTTCTAGAAACAGACTGTGGGCTTCTTTCTTGGGAGGAAAAGGAGAAACTTCTTTTAGGAAGAAAAAAAACCTGACTTACTTCAATGCAGTCTAAAACGAAAACATCTGGATGTTGCATGTACTAGTGTTCGTACTCGCCACCTATAGGAGTACTTGCCTACTTCAGGCAAAACCTTTGCGATTGGTAAGATACCTCTACATCCTGCTAACTAGGAAGGGAGGGAAAAGAGCTGGAGAACTGCAACTGGTTTCTGACAAGGCAAAACGAGGCAAAATAGCAGAGAGAAGGTACATCTCTGAGAGGAACTCTGGAGAACAGTATGCATGCCACAGCATTATGTATATGCAGACCTACTAACTATTCAATATCACTCCTTAGCTTACCCTCATACACTTTATTTTTCCCTTAACTTCTGCAGTTTTCAAGTTTATAGCTTCATAGGAACAGGCTTTTTTTAAAATTTCCAAAATTATTGAAATGAAAACAACGGTTTTCAGTCTTAAGTGCTTAAGCAGTAGTAGATGTGCAGCACATGATATTTCTTCTAATTGCTACTTCACCTATTAATTATCATTGCTAAAACATATAAAGAGTGCTATAAGCATCCCAATATTCTGTTTTACTGCAAAAAATCTAGAGCTAAGCAAAATGCAACCCAGACACCATACGCTGTTAGGCTACATTATCAAACAGTTACCAGCTAAGTCTACCAGCTATACTCACCTACGTAGTATCACTGGGACTTCTGAAATAATTTATGTAAACATGGATGGCAGAACTAAACCCTTTGGGTTAAGCTTTTTTTTTTTTTCCTTTCTCTACCTTTGTTCAGCTACCTTGTATGTTTCCACTCCTTCCTAAATGATGAGTGTCACATTTTCCATTCTCTCTACCAAAATTTGTAATTTCAATGACACTGATACGTCACCTTTAAAAGACTCACCTTTAAAAGACTTATCATGCAGACTACAGTTGTATAATACAGCTGTAGATATCGACCATATGGATCTTGGTGGCTAATTTCAGTGCTCACTCTGCAATTTTTGATTTTCCAAATGTAATGTGCAGATTCATATCATTATTGTCAACATATAGAACATCTGTTCAATGCGTTTTATATACAGAAAAAGTAATTAATTTTAACCTATGTATTGGAATCAACATATAAAAATATTAGAATATTTACAAAACATGTAACTAGTACAAACCAGGGATACAGAGGCATTTGTAGCTGGTTCCAACACTGCGACAAATGCCATGTGCACAAGGATTCAGAGCGCAGAAGTCAATCAGCTGAGCACATGTAGGTCCTGTAAATCCAGGACTACAACTGCAGGAGAAGGCAAGTCTATCTGCATAGCAGGTTCCATTGTTTCGGCAGGGAGACGACACACAAGGGTCTATTTTGTCTTCACAAGAGGGTCCCAAAAACCCTAAAATAAATAAATTATTTTGATAAATAATTTTGATATGGATACAATTTAAATTATTTTTTTAAATTTGATTTATTTTTAATTTAAAAAGCAAGTTAAAAGTAAGCCATTGATATATCTATACTCCTATTTTTTATTCTATGAAAATTACAAAAATACAGACTTCCTGTATACAATAAACTAATTTTACCCATTAACATGGTACAATATAAGATGTTTCAGGTAGAATCGCGCTATCATATGATTAAGGCAGTGAAGTGCAAAAATTTTCATTGAATATGACTGTGCTTATCTACTTTAAGAAGTGTATCTGGCCAGAAAAGTAAAAGATATTTTATAAAGATCAGGAACAGACTAGTCTGTTAAATAAGAAAAGCTAAAACTGATCTTTTTGTCATCTCTGTTAATGTGTTCATCAAGAATAACAACCTCTAAAGCAGCACATGAGTTTGCTTGGCTTCAATAATCTAAAAGATTACCTCTTACGCGAACATATTACTTATTAGCAGGAGAGACAATGATTTATAGAAGCAACACCATGTAAAAAATCAGACGTAAAGAAAAGGACATGCTTTCAAGGGAGTTGTTTTAATCAGATGTAGAAAATAGTAACATTTGAACATGCTAATGTTAGTATACTAACTATACTTTTTATCACATACATCATATACATAGCAATATGAAGCATGTTTATTGTATCCAAAAGCAAGTCAGAAAAGACTATTCAAATTCTAGCATGCCTCCAAATAAAAGACCAAATTGTTCTTTCCATTCAACTATAATATTTTTTGATGAGTATTTGGTTCATTCATACAGACCACCACTTTTCAGGCTCAAAACTCCCTGGAATATCTTACATTGTAGAACAGCTTTTAAAATTACAATACACTACTCACTGGGAATGAAAAATTAGGAGGAAATCAGGCCAGCCTCAAGACTCAGCAAGCCAGCTTTACCAATCTACTCTAAAAGAAAGTGTAAACCACTGCAGTTGTGCCAGTCTAAAAAACAAAGAACAGACTGCATTGCCACTGCTACCCAGGAGATTGTAGCAACATTTCAGACACTAAAGAAAATAAGGAAATGAATGGAAAAATCACTCCGGGATTTGAAAAACATTTAATTAGAACAAGAGAAACACCCTCACACGCCCCCCCCCTCAAAAAAAAAAAAAAGCAAACCACAAAAAGTGCCTGATGGTGAGGGAAAGGATCAATATGGAGGAGGTATCTCTGTTATATAGTGACATATAGCAGCCTGCCAACAACGCAGAACATGAAAACAAATAATGACAGGTGACACTTTGGATTAACACTCACTCAATAGTGAAATCTTATTCTTGATGAAATTAAGCAGATTTTTTGCCTTACTTCTAAAGTTTTTGTATCTATAAAGTCTGGCTGCTGGATTAAAAGCAGTTGACGTATTAGAACCAAACCTCTATACTGCATAAAGCTTAAGATGAATAGCAAAACTGAGACCAAATACCACATTCAATACATACTTCACAGCATCTCATTATCTTTTACTGACTCAGAAAATATTTTTGTTATAAAAAATGTCATTCCACATTTCAAGCAAGGTACAATTCATCAAGAAATAGTTTCAGTTAATTTTGACAGATGTGTTACTTTCAGGGCATTTGTATTTTCTTTCTAATTATCCACATTTAGGTGAGTTAAACTGTAACTTTTAATTGTAGTTCTAGCACTGTTATCATAGAGAGCAAGTCAGGAGTTGGGATTTCTGAAAATAAGTGCATGAGAAATAGATTAATTTACATTTACACCAAACATTTCATATAAGGTTCAAATTCTACAGTTTGTTCTTGATGTATTAGTTTTGTTGAAAACCTGGACCAGAAAGATCAAATGAACTGAGCATAGTCTGTCAACTTGACTGAACTCCAAGACTTGTAGAGTGAGTGAGGACTGAGATAATCAGCCCAAAGATGTTAAAGGTTTCAGCACACACACACACGCGCACACACAAACAAAACACCAAACTGGCAATTAATTTTAAATATCCTGAGTGCTTCCTTTCCATGTTTAATGGATCCACAAAAGCTCAGTGAACTGCATCAGAAAGAGGGGAATATGGATTTTAAACAAAGGTGAGTAACCCACAAAGACTGTACTACAGGGATCTACTCAGAGAATTAACAAAACTTGGATTATTCTAACTAGGAAAAAGACAGAATGGCCACAACTGCCCTGTGAGTTCCAGAAAAAACTGGGATATTCTTGGGCATTGCTGGCAGCAGTAATTTACTAGCATCCTCACTACATTTCTCACGTATGTTCATAAATCTTACACCAGACCTATGAAATGAAAAACAAAGGAAAAAATAAATCAATTTTTAAAAAAAGTAGTAAGTAAAAAAGAAAAAAAACCTACAGATTAAACTTTTAAAAGTTTAGTCATAAATAATTCACAGCAAGAGATCAGGAAAGAAAGGCAAGTCTGGCAGGACACAGGCAAAAAACAGGCAAGAGCCTCCTGCCCTCTCCAGTTTGCTGTCCTATTGCTCTGATTGCTTCATGGGATTTATCAGGACCACCTGCACACCAATGTTGAGGAGGAAGAGCTGAAAAACAGATATTGTGGAATCCTGTATTAGAGGTCCCTCCTGCAGATGATAACTGCATAACCATCAGAAACTGAAAAGAACAGAAACACTAAAAACAATAATCTTAATTCCAGCAATGGTTTGCCGACAAATTAAAAAAAGCCTGCACCATTATAATAAAATCCCAGAGAGAGTTAAAAGAATCTGCAAGGACTTTTAACTATTGCCAGGAGGAGACCAGCCAATGAGTCTGGTGAAATCTCCACACTAACTCTGAAACTGGACTATAAAGGATCAAGGAGATCTGAGGTCACACAATGACACTAATGCTGCTTCACTACAACCTTCGCAATAATCTTCCCTACAAAGAAAAGCTTTTGGCAAATGGCTAATGTTTCAAGTGACAAAGCACTTCAGGAATATACGCAAGTTTAAAATACACTAAAACACGTTGCCTTTGTCCTATCTTTGACTGCACTGTAAAATGTGTTTAGTTGATTCTGGAAGTTTAAATCTTATGTATGAGGTAAATATCAAAAAATACTCAAAACAACAGTAGTTACACATCCGAATTGAAGATCTATAATTTTGGTATTTCTGAATATACATTTAAGTCCATATCAATAAAATGGTTGAAAACAAAAAATGCAAATAATAACTTTAAAAATCAAATTCAGAGGTGTACTAATTGAAAAGAGAATAAAATGCTGGACAGAAAAAAAATCAGGATTATTTATCTGTGGATACATAACTCCTAAACTGTTCTTCAGCCAGCTAACATGAACCCAACCCTGCATCTAAGGTCATTGTTAGTGTAACAGGGACATGACTGAAATGTAAAGACTACTGGTGATTTGAACGATCTGAATGTAAAATTTACCAAAGGAATAACATAGCACAAAAGGCAATATTAGAAAAGTTTATACTGCTAAAAACCACAAAACAACATTTGTGCTTACAGGGATCAGACCATTTGGCTAGTTGTCAAGAGGAATAGAAGTATTAAAGCAGGTTATATTCTTTATATATAGCTACAGATCCCCCAGGGCAGTGATAGAAAATCTTTTCAGAGATAGAAAAGGTTTACAGTGGGATTTTAATGACTTAGCTACTGAAAACAAAAGAGCCATGTACACATCAAGGAAGTGAAACATTATCTGAAGATAGTCACAGAATCACAGAATGTTAGGAGTTGGAAGGGACCTCGAAAGCTCATCCAGTCCAACCCCTGCCAGAGCAGGATCACCTAGACCAGGTCACACAGGAATGTATCAAGGTGAGTTTTGAATGTCTCCAGAGAAGGAGACTCCACAACCTCTCTGGGCAGCTCTGTCACCCTCACAGTGAAAAGGTTCTTCATTATGTTCAGATTGAACCTCCTATGCTCCAGCTTGCTCCCATAGTCCCTTGTCCTGTCACTGGACATCAAAGAGAAGAGCCTGGCTCCTTCCTCCTGACACTCACCCTTTACAAATTTATAAATATTACTGAGGTCAGCCCTCAGTCTCCTCTTCTCCAAGCTAAAGAGCCCCAGCTCCCTCAGCCGCTCCTCATAAGGGAGATGCTCCACTCCCTCCATCACCTTTGTGGCTTTGTGCTGGACTCTTTCAAGCAATTCCCTGTCCTTCTTGAACTGAGAGGCCCAGAACTGGACACAATATCGCAGATGTGGTCTCACCAGGGCAGAGTAGAGGGGAAGGAGAACCTCTCTCAACCTACTAACTAATAGTGTACAACTGTGCATTATACAGTCTATGGAACAACCAACTTGCCTGAATCTTATGACTGACCTAATTCTAAGAATTACACAAATGTGAAAAATTAAGTCTGTGAATCACCAGGACTCGGCATTACAGAAGCTTTAGATTTGAAATACAGGGATAAATATTAAAAGAAATACAGATAATTTATTATTCTCCCTATAGAAAATTGTTTTGAGAGAAAATACAAAATGTCCGATGAAATTTCACCAGAATTCTGTAAAGGGTGGAAAAAGATACTCATCATAAAGAAACAAGAAATCATTAAAATGTAGCTGTAAGACTTTGACTGAAATTCACTCCAGCTAAGTATTTATGGATACAGATGAACAGAGGCTAAACTCATTAAAGCATTAAGAAGTCCATTAAAAATAAGAGCAATTTGGAAAGATGCCAAGTAAAAACATCAGATTAGCAGAAAATACTACAAAGTAAGCAGCCATAAATAAATTTAATTAACAACAAAATGTTCTTCAGGTAAATTAAACTCTCTTATGGTAATATGAAGAATTCTGCATTCTTTAATCACCACTAACCTTGGGAAATTTTCTATATACAACAGCTGTGTGACCTAGTTTCCAGGAATTAAGAAAATAAATAGGTTTATACTACATAAATCTAAAGAAGTTAGAATCACATCTGCAAGATATAATATAGAAAAAGGCTTTTAC